ATTGTACAACTTTTGTATTTACACCTTTTTTCTACCTGTAAAGGTAAAGGAGGTAGGTGGGGTGTCAATATATAAAAAAACACCCTGTACAAATAAGTTAACTATTGCGGAACTTATAGGTGAACCTCTGCGGGACGAGCGCAGCGAGTTCCGCAGCCATTTACTCAACAATATACTGTTGAATGTTGAACTGTTCAAAAAAAACACTCACATGTAGTTTTTGAACTGATAAGAAAAGTTCATAACTGAGTGAATCAGGTTAGTATTGTACTTGAACAACATATTCGTGAATAGATGGCTGAATCCACTCATAAGTTCCGCACAATCCACTCGTTTGTACTTGAATAACTTGTCACAATATATTGCTAGTTTGTGGTAGAGTAACATTACTAATTCCTGTTGAAAGACGAATTGACAAAAAGTGGATAATCATAATCTTACAAATTCTGACTTTATTATAATAAGTTGTTGTTCAAGTACAAATAAGTGGATTGTTGCGGATTTTATGGGTGGACCTCTGCGGGACGAGCGCAGCGAGTTCCGCAGCCATCTACTCACCAATATACTGTTGAATTGTTCAAATAAGGAATTCACCTGAAACATGGAGTTTTTAAACTAATGAGAATAATTCACATTTGAGTGAGTCAGGTTAGTATTGTAGTTAAACAATATATTGATAAATAGATGGCTGCGGAACTCGCTGCGCTCGTCCCGCAGAGGTTCACTCATAAGTTCCGCAACAATTCACTCATTTGTACTTGAATAACTTGTCACATTATGTTACTAGTTTGGTAAAGTAACATTACTAAAGTCCAACAAATACCATTTTAAAATCACGTGATTTTTCTCTATCCTTGTTGAATACATCTTAAACAGAGGTGATAGTAAAATTGGAAAAAAAATTGGTGTCTAATTATTGTTCATAATAATTCTTACCTGAAATAGAATCTGTCACTGTCATCAATTAGTTTTTCAAAGGTATTTTGGAAAATGATACAACGAACAAACAGAGCTAATAATTTTGACTATATTAACCTTTTTCCAACTCGAAAAGAAGCAAATAGAAACCGGGTCCCCAATTCAAGTTTAGAATGTATTACAACGGACAGCAGATGCGACAAAAGTGAGTCTCGCAACATTTGCAAGTATTAAAATTCCCATCTGATTGGTCAACACTACTTCAAGAACGCGTTTGTAAAATACTAGTGGGAACGTGTCCTAAAATTCAATAGTAATTAACCACCAGTAGCTTTTTGTAGGTGATATCAACGACATAATCAATGAACATACGTTTTTTGCCACCAATATCACGTGATTTTAAAATGGTATTTGTCGGACTTTAATTCCTATTGAAAGTCGAATTGACAAAAAGTGGATAATCGGGGGTAATACCATCAGAGCTTCAAAATTACCGATAATTTTTCACGATTGCGTGTTTTCTATAATTTCACGAGTCCGTAGGACGAGTGAAATTTGCAGAGAAAACACGCATGAGTGAAAAATTATCCGGTTCATTTTAAAGCTCAAGTGGTATTTAGAGGATTATTTCACGTATGAAAATGCAAAAAATATGGAAATAATTATGTATTAAACGATTTGAACATCTTAACGATCAATACAAATAAATGGTTGCTATCAGGAACCGTTTGTTTGTATCAAAAATTAGTATGACAACCATGTATACAATAACATGGGAGAATTATCGCTGTAATTCTCTCTAGTTAAACAAATGGAAAAGAGAATTTTCGCTGAAATTCAGAAAATCGTCACTTGTCTTATGGGATTTCTAACACAATAGTGGAATAATCGCTGTAATTTTAAAAATCGTCACTTGTTTTATGGGATTTCTAACACATGAGTGGAATAATCTGACAAATTCTGACTTTATATAATAAGTTATTGTTCAAGTACAGAGTGTTTTTTTATATATTGACACCCCAACTACAGCCTTCACCTTTACAAGTAGATGAAAAGTGTAAATACAAAAGTTGTACAGTATTCGCTACATTTTTAGAATCCATGGTCAGAAACAAAAATTGAATGTCAGAAATGTGTAGACCTCGCAACATTGTTTAGTTGACTTATGGTTGTCGATATAGTAGGATATTTTAATTCATGCATAGATAAGTTCTACAAAAGCTCTGTATAAGAACACAAGAACGCCAAAGTTCACAATAATTCTGTTGTTTGCTGTATTATATTCCTTAGTACTATTATTTAATTTAAGTAGTTACATACTTTTTTTAATTTAAAATGCTAGTTTTGATAATTGGCAGATGACACATCACTAAAAATCTACCAGCTTTATTGGCTGAGTTCGTTCGGCTTTGCACTCTACGGAGCGGGTATGAGCATGGATATCGTGACGTCATAGGCAGAGTGAGCTCTGAACAAGTGTACGTAAGCCGAACGCAGATCGAAGAAAAAAACAACAGAATGGTGTAAATGACCAAATTCATGTTCTGGGAATGTACTCAGAGCTGTCAAAGATACTTTTAAAAAGTATCTAGTTATAAGATAAGTTACTTTTGGAAAAAGTATCTGAAGTTACTTTGGGTATTTAGTTACTCATTTAAAAAAGGATCTTTAATACGTATCTTAAGTTACTTTTCAAGGTACTTAATAAGATATTTATTAAGATACTTTATTATTAGTTCTAAAGCTTTTGCTGTTTAGTTTATTTGGTCCACAGGTTTTGGATTCAGTTTTAAAAACAAGAATTTTTATAGTTTAAAAATCCCAAATTCGAGAATTAGGTTTAAAATCGCAGGACATAGAAAGTTATCACAGTCACAATCATAAATCATAGTTACATTTTTATAGAATATAATGGATAAATCGTGACGTGATCTATTGAAGTACAAAATCGTTAATAACTCTTTTGTTCAATGAGTTTACTCTAACTTTACAGAGCGGCTGGGTGAGTAGGTACAAACGAATATTTACATATAACGTAAGCTTGATGCTTTTTGAAGTTTGAATCAGTTTTATCTTTTTGGGTAAACGTCTCAAGAAATTTTTTCACAGAACGTATACTTTTTGTTAACTTAGATTTAGATTAAACTTTTCAGCATTTACCTACTTCTAAGTATCTGAGATATTTTTTGGTATCCAAGATACTTTTTCAAGATACAAGTTACAGATCCTTTTGAAAAGTAACTAAGATATTAGATGCTTTTGCCAAAAAATAAAAAGTATTTAAGATACAGTATCTTAGATACTATAAAGTAACTAAGATACTCTAAAGTTAATTATATACTTTTTTCTGACAGCTCTGAATATATTAAACTTGACAATGATATTTTACTTAACCCGGAAGCCCAAATATTTTTCATCTAATAAAATATTATTTTTTTTCAAAATTTACCTAAAAAATAGAGATATGGGGGGGGTAATTACTCCCTGTACCCCCCCCCCCCCCCATATCTACGCCCTTGACCAGAGCCTCTTAAATTGTATTTCAATACAGCCACACGAGAAAAATATACGACAAGCGAACCCATATGAGAAAAAAAACTCTCGTTACTATGTATTATTTAAGACCTAACGATATCCTATTTCGTTCCGAGAGGAGGGTTTCACTTGGGTGGTTGACACAAAAGACGCCATGGAGAAGTGAGTATCAGTTTTGCAGGTCTCATGTGTTTTGGGGAAAATTAACTACCTACCTACAATAATTGACTTTTTTTAATGGTTTCACTTTTCTATTGAAGGTTTTCGTGTAAAATTATATTTCACGGAGGCGTGAGTAAAGCCCCTTTTTTCACTCATATGTGATTGTCGCACGTTCACTTTACACACTTGTTGCATAAACAGCTATTTTGTTAAATAATTATTGTTGTAGATCGTCCATTTGCCTACTACTGTGCAAAAACTTTTCTTACTTTGATCAACACATACAAGCTGAATGGAGAATTATAAAAGGTGGGCAATTTACAATGTTTTTGTTCTTAGAAATTATTACTCACACGATTATAAATAATGAAATTTAAAATTTGAAAATTACACATTTCAAAATCCCTTTCTATTGAATGAACTTAGGTGAGAAAACTTAGTATTTTTAATGATTATTTCCTGCAATGTAAACTAAAATAGAACTTCTCATCCACTCTAAGTTATTTCTATTTGTGATTTATGTAACCCAAAAAATCCACAGAAAACTTTGGCCAAAGTGACAATACATTCATTTAAAGGTTTTCCTTTGTGAATACTGTCAAGGTAATTTATGTATATGTTTCCAACTTCCGAAAAAAACATAATACCTATTCAAAGAAACTCCAAATAATAAACAGGAAGTCCCAGAATAATTGTATATGTAATTTGAATTATGATATTTTGTTTGCAAATTGCTATTATATAGTTATCTTATCAGTATTTGATTACTGCTTTACTGATAAATATCTTAAAAGTTACTAATTTCAATTATTACATGAAATAAGTCTCAGGATCCTTGTTCCAATAAAACACTTTTCATTCTGTCAATAAATAGGCATTACCCAAAGAAAACGAAAAGCGTTTATTTATTTTGAACCAAGGTTATTCCAAGATCTGTTTCTGGTTAATTTTGAGAGAAGCATTTAATTCCTTAATAGCCTCATGGTTAGTGTAAATGTAATGTGAATTCAAGGCTAAGTATAATGAACTTTTTCCAGGAATAATCTTTCATAAATATGTATGTTAACATGTACAAAAACATAAAAGTTAATATTGATAAAAAGTTACTGTTCCATATATCTGTTTTAAGGATGTGAAATTTATTATTTATTCAAGTTATCCGTTGAAGGCAATATACAAATAAACTATCAAAAGTATTGAATGTATTTGTTTTATCAATGAGCGTATTATGAATACTGATAGATAATGTTTGTAGCGATGTTTTATTCATTACTTGACTGCATAAACAAGTTGCGTCCCCACCAATGAACCAAAAAAAAAATTCATTCATAACTATACAATTCTCAAAAAAGGAGGTTTGTTTATGAATGACCAAGTTTACTTACGCACTGGAACCTTCTTAGGATCATAAAGCGCAACCTTCTCCTCTACAACGGCGATCCGTCCTCTCGCTACCTCGCATCTTTTGTAGACGCACCTCAATTGACCACCCAATTCCGTGAAAATATCGTCGGCCACCAATGCCAAGGATGCCAACTGCCGTAGAGCATTGCACAAGGTAGAGTTGGTAACCGCTTCTAGTTCTTCGTCCTTAACGCGCGGAGTACCGTCCTCTTTGAACAGCGGTACTCTCGATAACAATTTCGGCTCTATCGTTCTTTGTACGAATGGCATGATTTTGTCGGCTTATGACCATAATAATAATAATATTTTTTTAAATTTTAATCAACAAGTTGTCAAGTAATTAATATCATAAAACACTCTTTATTATCACATTTTTCACCTCTGACACAAAACCGTTGTTTGTCGACATTTTTCAAAAATTACCGGTTTTTTTTTCTCTCGTAAACCAATTACGCGACGCCAATTCACTCGTACACGGCACGAATGCCGGTAAACAAGTGAGCCCGCGAGCCGCGCTGAAGAAAGCGAGGAACGAACAACAGACACTACAGGGCAAAGGCGCACACTTTTGCCGGGTTTGAATTTTCAAAACGCTACGCTGCCAAGTTGAACTGACTGAATATTTTCATATATTATGAATTCGTCTTATCTTAATAGGGAAAAATATACTTTTTGATATCAGACTCCTGATAAAAACATATTTCTAGATCAAATTACGTGTGAAAGATTATTATAGTCTGCTGTCCCCACTTTGAAATTGTTGAACTTCATGATTTTCAAGTCCACCACATGAAAGTTAAAGGATCAAAAGAATGCTTGTATGTGAACACACCCAACTCCTCCGCATTATTAGTTGTCTTTATTGTCAACAGGTTATTTCGTATTTTTCGATCGTTTTAGTAAGTTTGCTAAGCATTTGCTTCCTCTATCTTTCGTGTAGCGGACTTTACTTTGAGTCCCTTATTCTCAATTATATCGGTATATCTACTTCCAATAATAATTATCGTATCAGATCTTTTCCCGTATACTAAACGGATCAAAATAATTTCAATTTCAACAAGAAACGTTTCTCAAGCAATACACATAAAATTCAATACCAAACAAAAAATGAAAAATATCTTCGTTCAGTAAATTTCCTTATATTTCATTGTATCTGACAACACTGCTACCACGTAATATTGTATGGTTGGGTATAGGTGAAAGTGTGGTATTTTTCCCCTATACCTGCTACATCAATTTATGGGCAATTACAAAAGTTTTTTTTAATGTTTCTACAGCGCACTTCCACTTTGTACCACAGGTGTAGGTATAAAACATTTTAATCAACTACTAAATGGGTTTTTTGTACATACAATTAACATTGGAATTTTATATCACATACATAAAGAAAAAATCTTCTACTAAAATCTAGTATCATCGGGCATTTTTTCAAAATAGGCCACCTGATCTTCAACTCTGTAATCGTGGATCCATCTACTACCCTTTCTTAAACTGCCATCGATTCCATCTTTCCACACTCCTAAAACAAAATTTGAACAATTATATTTCTGAAACTATAAGTCCAAAATTATTCTCAGATTTGAAGCTGAAATCTATGAAAAAAGGCACTCAGAAAAATTGAAAAATTGATAAATCACCCCAATTGCTCAACACGATTTTATCTTAGGAACTGTGCTAATTGGGGCCTTTAATTAAAAATTAGGTGCTCCTCTAGTTTTTGAGAAAATCAAAAAAAAACTAAGGAATTGCTAGGTTTATGAAAGCTAGTAGTCCCCTATAGTAAAAAATATTTTTCCAAAATTTTCTTTTGTATCAGAATTAGGTGCTTTTTAGGTGCTCTTAAATAGTCGAAGAAAAAATAGAATTGATTAATTATCAACTGAGTTACAGATTTTTTTTAAAATTATTAGGGGACTGCTGGATTTAGGTTTACAAGTTGGTGTGTCAGAATGACGGAAAAACTTCGAGATCTATATAATAATTAGGTGCTTTTTAGGTACTAATTAGGGCCTTTAATTAAAAATCAGGTGCTTCTCTAGTTTTTGAGAGAATCAAAAAAAAACTAAGGAATTGCTAGGTTTATGAAAGCTAGTAGTCCCCTATAGTAAAAAATATTTTTCCAAAATTTTCTTTTGTATCAGAATTAGGTGCTTTTTAGGTGCTTCTGAATAGTCCAAAAAAAAATAGAATTGATTAATTATTAACTGAGTTACAGATATTTTTTTTACCACATACTAGCTTTCATAAACCTAGCAATCCCTTAGTTTTTTTTGATCTTCTCAAAAACTAGAGGAGCACCTAATTTTTAATTAAAGGCCTTAATTAGCACCTAAAAAGCACCTAATTATTATATAGTTCCCGAAGTTTTTTTCCACCTTGGGACTGCTAGGTTCATAGACCTCATTAATTCAAGAAAAATGGATTATTGGTTGCTATTGCAAAAATACCAGAATTTTGCTGGAATGAATTTCCAGAAATATTACTTTTTATATTTTGAAAATCTTCATTACTAAAACCGGGGTCGATATTACCAGATCTGGTAATTATTTTATCAAGTTGGCAACACTGGGAACTATAATTGCGAATGAACTGAAATTTTCAGGGATTGTAGTCCTTTGAAAAGGATAATTTTCAGTGAAAGATTCAGCTTTCTATCTATAATAGAAAAAAAGTTATGACTTTTCAAAATTTTCCAAAAAAATTATAAGGGGGGTACCTTCTTACTAAAACGATGAAATTTCAATTTTTTTTTTGTCGAGATTTTGTGTCCTAATGGTTCCTCGTGATACCCTGAACTCCATAAACTACATTATTCTCAGATTTGAAGCCTAAATCTATGAAAAAAGGCACTCAGAAAAATTGAAAAATTGATAAATCACCACAATTGCTTAGCACGATTTTATCTCAGGAACTATAAGTGCAAATGAGCTGAAATTTTCAGGGATTGTAGTCCTTTGAAAAGGATAATTTTCAGTGAAAGATTCAGCTTTCTATCTATAATAGAAAAAAAGTTATGACTTTTCAAAATTTTCCAAAAAAATCATAAGGGGGGTACCTTCTTACTAAAACGATGAAATTTCAATTTTTTTTTTGTCGAGATTTTGTGTCCTAATGGTCCCTCGTGATACCCTGAACTCCATAAACTAAATTATTCTCAGATTTGAAGCCAAAATCTATGAAAAAAGGCACTCAGAAAAATTGAAAAATTGATAAATCACCCTAAATTGCTTAACACGATTTTATCTCAGGAACTATAAGTGCAAATGAGCTGAATTTTTCAGGGATTGTAGTCCTTTGAAAAGGATAATTTTCAGTGAAAGATTCAGCTTTCTATCTATAATAGAAAAAAGTTATGACTTTTCAAAATTTTCCAAAAAAATCATAAGGGGGGTACCTTCTTACTAAAACGATGAAATTTCAATTTTTTTTTTGTCGAGATTTTGTGTCCTAATGGTTCCTCGTGATACCCTGAACTCCATAAACTACATTATTCTCAGATTTGAAGCCAAAATCTATGAAAAAAGGCACTCAGAAAAATGGAAAAATTGATAAATCACCCCAAATTGCTTAACACGATTTTATCTCAGGAACTATAAGTGCAAATGAGCTGAATTTTTCAGGGATTGTAGTCCTTTGAAAAGGATAATTTTCAGTGAAAGATTCAGCTTTCTATCTATAATAGAAAAAAGTTATGACTTTTCAAAATTTTCCAAAAAAATCATAAGGGGGGTACCTTCTTACTAAAACGATGAAATTTCAATTTTTTTTTTGTCGAGATTTTGTGTCCTAATGGTTCCTCGTGATACCCTGAACTCCATAAACTACATTATTCTCAGATTTGAAGCCAAAATCTATGAAAAAAGGCACTCAGAAAAATGGAAAAATTGATAAATCACCCCAAATTGCTTAACACGATTTTATCTCAGGAACTATAAGTGCAAATGAGCTGAATTTTTCAGGGATTGTAGTCCTTTGAAAAGGATAATTTTCAGTGAAAGATTCAGCTTTCTATCTATAATAGAAAAAAGTTATGACTTTTCAAAATTTTCCAAAAAAATCATAAGGGGGGTCCCTTCTTACTAAAACGATGAAATTTCAATTTTTTTTTTGTCGAGATTTTGTGTCCTAATGGTCCTTAGTGATACCCTGAACTCCATAAACTAAATTATTCTCAGATTTGAAGCCTAAATCTATGAAAAAAGGCACTCAGAAAAATGGAAAAATTGATAAATCACCCCAAATTGCTTAACACAATTTTATCTCAGGAACTATAAGTGCAAATGAGCTGAATTTTTCAGGGATTGTAGTCCTTTGGAAGGGATAATTTTCAGTGAAAGATTCAGCTTTCTATCTATAATAGAAAAAAAGTTATGACCTTTCAAAATTTTCCAAAAAAATCATAAGGGGGGTCCCTTCTTACTAAAACGATGAAATTTCAATTTTTTTTTTGTCGAGATTTTGTGTCCTAATGGTTCCTCGTGATACCCTGAACTCCATAAACTACATTATTCTCAGATTTGAAGCCAAAATCTATCAAAAAAGGCACTCAGAAAAATGGAAAAATTGATAAATCACCCCAAATTGCTTAACACGATTTTATCTCAGGAACTATAAGTGCAAATGAGCTGAATTTTTCAGGGATTGTAGTCCTTTGAAAAGGATAATTTTCAGTGAAAGATTCAGCTTTCTATCTATAATAGAAAAAAAGTTATGACTTTTCAAAATTTTCCAAAAAAATCATAAGGGGGGTACCTTCTTACTAAAACGATGAAATTTCAATTTTTTTTTGTCGAGATTTTGTGTCCTAATGGTTCCTCGTGATACCCTGAACTCCATAAACTACATTATTCTCAGATTTGAAGCCAAAATCTATGAAAAAAGGCACTCAGAAAAATGGAAAAATTGATAAATCACCCCAAATTGCTTAACACGATTTTATCTCATGAACTATAAGTGCAAATGAGCTGAATTTTTCAGGGATTGTAGTCCTTTGAAAAGGATAATTTTCAGTGAAAGATTCAGCTTTCTATCTATAATAGAAAAAAAGTTATGACTTTTCAAAATTTTCCAAAAAAATCATAAGGGGGTACCTTCTTACTAAAACGATGAAATTTCAATTTTTTTTTTGTCGAGATTTTGTTTCCTAATGGTTCCTCGTGATACCCTCAACTCCATAAACTAAATTATTCTCAGATTTGAAGCCAAAATCTATGAAAAAAGGCACTTAGAAAAATTGAAAAATTGATAAATCACCCCAAATTGCTTAACACGATTTTTTTTCTGGAACTATACGTCCAAATTGGCTGAAACTTTCAGGGATTGTAGTCCTCTGCTGGAATAAGAATCGCTGAAAATTTCATCGTTCTATGTCTAATAGAACTAAAGTTATGATTTTGTAAAGTTTACAAAAATTTAAATCATAAGGAGAGGAGATTTTGTATCTAAATGATTATTGGGGCCCCCAAAACTCCATCATATACTAAATTATTTTGAGATTTGGAGCTGGATTCTATGAAAAAAGGCACTCAGAAAAATTGAAAAATTGATAAATCACCCCAAATTGCTTAACACGATTTTATTTCTGGAACTATAAGTCCAAATGAGCTGAAATTTTTAGGGATTGTAGTCCTCTACTGCGATAAGAATCGCTGAAAATTTCAGCTTTCTATTAACAATAGAAAAAAAGTTATGACCTTTCAAAGTTTTCCAAAATCATAAGGTACTAAAACGATGATCATTGGGAACCCCCAAAACTCCATACACTAAATTATTCTGAGATTTGGAACCTGATTCTATGAAAAAATGCACTCAGAAAAATTGCTTAAACAAATACCTGCAGGCAAATAAATCTCCCTTTCTCTGGCTCCGGAAGACAAAATAGGAGCTACAATAATGTCTTCGCCAATAGAAAATTCATCCATAACAGTATGACAATTTGGATCGTTTGGATCCAACATCCAAAGGGGTCTTATTATCGGCAGACCAAGATTTAAAGAAACTCTTGCGTATTTTTTCAATACTGGTTTGACCTGAAATAGAGCTTTATTTAATTTTAAATTACTCACTTCAACAGCTGAATTTGCCTTCTGACAATTCGATTTTAGTTGATCAACTATGTTTTTGGATTTTGGGACAAGTCTTCATCAGTAGTCCTTCTAACTTAGAAATTTTCGAATGATTTTTGCATCCCTCTTCATCCTTCAAAGCAAGTTTTTTTAGAAGAGTTTCAGAATTCCATACTAATGTCTTTTTTTTTTAATCCAGTTGCGTACACTCAAAAACAATTCTAGTGGATCGACTAAAATCGAATCGTAAGAACACACGCCCTTACCTTATTTTGTCTAAGTAAAGCCAATCCAATAGCCGTATCCAAAACTTTCTTATCCCCATAACTATTGGGCAAACGATTATATCTAACAACAGGCAAAAAAGCGGCCAATTGCAGCCACCTTATGTAAAGTTCTTGGTCAGGCAATTCGACAAAACTGCTATTCAATTCAGTTTCTACAGAGTCATAATCACCACCTACTGCACCCGGGATCAAAAACGGATACCCGATAATTCCATAAGTTAAAATTGTTGGTATGACTCGCCTCAAACCGTCCCAGCTGGATTCGAAACGGGGCAAAGCCACAAAACTAGGCGACCTCGGTCTTTCAATCGCATCGCTAACCCCCAGCAAACTAATGGAATTCTGGATACTGTTGATGAATTGCGTTTTAAAATGGTCGGGATTTAATAGGGGTTTTTCGCACTGGTAATAGTGAGGCATATCGTAGGCGTTGCCCAATTCCAAATAGTAGGCGTTGAATTTGTACTTGCTCATTACCGATTTGAGTTTTTCGATTAGCCAAGGCATGGTACGGTTGTTGGTGATGTCCAATACGCCTGCACTTTGAAGAGTTTTGAAACTGAAACGGAAATTGTGAGTAGTTAGTCAATTTGAATTCAGATATTTTGTTTGCATTAATATGGAGTCAGGTTCCAACACAGAAATTAAAATTGTAGAAGAACAACGACACGGAGGATAAAAAAAACATTAGGACATGACGAGAATTACAGATCTGCACACGAAAAACCAACCGTCACAAACAATATGAACTTTTTAAAAATAATTTCTATTGGAAATCTTGACTCTCTGACGGCTTTTGTTATGATGTTCTTTTTTCCTTGAGAGAATTATTTTTGAAATAATTGGACCGTTTATCATGTTTAGTTCTGTAATTCTGGTCATGTCGTAATTATTTTTATTTTCTTGTGTCGTAACATGAAAAATGGCGAAAGCCGAAAGCGCTCTACTATGCTAAGTTTCACTAAATTAAATTGTGCATGAAATATAAAAATTGTTTCCTTCTTTACAAAGATTTTTTATTGGCAACTATTGTTACATGAATGAGTATTGTCAAAAAGAAAAACTTATTATGGACGCAAATTCAAGCAACTAGCTTATGTATACAGGCCGGACCAACCTACTAGACACATATGAAGTGATAATAAGACGAATTAGTTTGTACCTTCAGTTTCAATAACATGCAAAATTGATCAATGATCCACCGTGGCGATCTTGGGTATCAGTCAACTGGTCCCATTGAAGCCTATGTGTCTAGAAGCCTGATCCTGTTTATATATTCAAGAAAACAAATTTGAAAATATCTTCAACAATCCATCCGTAGATTCTTCAAGAATATGGAACGAAAAGTCCTACCTGGTTAGTGCGGGTACTTTTCTACCACTAAACCGTTCCAATACGAGCAAACGCTTCTCAACCGCCTCAGCAAAATTGCGACTTTCAGTAGAAATAAACGGTTGTATAGTGAAAACTACACGAAAACCCCTTCTCCGAAGAACATCGATGGTCTTTTCCAGAGTCGGAAATCGGTCAGTATCCAGCTGAAAATCGCCAACTCGATTTTGCCAAAATTCATTTATCAACACGTGGCCTTGCTTGATGGTTCCCAAAGCTATGATATCATTGGTGAAATTGAAAACCATTTCTAGAAATTATAAACAATAATTATTTTGGCTAAAAAATCAACTCATCAATCATTTACCTTCTGTTAATAATTCTTTACTTTCAGAAGTAATCTCCCACAAAGGTTCAGTAAGTAAACTATCAATAACATCAGCGTCTTCCTTTTTCAAACCATCCCATAAAGTGTGTTCACTGAGTTGGGTGTGCAGCTCGCTCATATTTCCGCCAGTGCATATGCTGTAATTCAGCTCAGGAGTTATAGTGAATTTATTAACGAAAGCAAACTCATCGTAACGAGCGCTGAGACACAACTGTTTTTGTGTGTCACCTTGTATTGCAACGTAAAGGGGTGTTTTCTCATCTATTATTATTGCAGCTCCTTTTGAGTTGATGAAGTATCTTTTGAGGACATTACCTAGAATTTTAGTGTTGATTCACATGCATTTTTTTGACTATTCCCGGCTCTTGTTTGGGTTACTCAAGAGCTAGGAATAAGCTTAAATTATTGTAAATATCCAGACTCAATTTATGAACTACCCAGACAGTAAAGAGGGAAAGTTTGGATCTTTATTGCATTATTATTACTCATTTCATAATTTTCAATTTTTGTCTATTCCAGGCGCTAGGGCTTTCTGGAATAAGTCTGAGGTTTTGAAATTGTTCTGAAGTCTTGTGTTCAAGTCTATAAACCTAGCAGTCCCAAGGTGGAAAAAAACTTCGGGAACTATATAATAATTAGGTGCTTTTTAGGTGCTAATTAGGTCCTCTAATTGAAAATTAGGTGCTCCTCTAATTTTTGAGAAAATCAAAAAAAACTAAGGGATTGCTAGGTTTATGAAAACTAGCAGTCCCCTATAGTAAAAAATATTTTTTCAAATTTTTTCTTTGTATCAGAATTAGGTGCTTTTTAGATGCACCTAAATAGTCCAAGAAAAATAGAATTGATTAATTATTAACTGAGTTACAGATTTTTTTTTAATTATAAGGGGACTGCTGCCCTCACGTTTACTTGTTGGTGTGTCAGAATGGCATAAAAACTTCGGAATCTATGTAATAATTAGGTGCTTTTTAGGTGCTAATTAGGGCCTCTAATTAAAAATTAGGTGCTCCTCTAGTTTTTGAGAAGATCAAAAAAAACTAAGGGATTGTTAGGTTTATGAAAGCTAGTAGTCCCCTAATAATAAAAAAATCTGTATCTCAGTTAATAATTATGAACCGATTCAATTTTTTCTTCGACTATTTAGAAGCACCTAAAAAGCACCTAATTCTGATACAAACGAAAAATTTGAAAAAATATTTGTTATTTTAGGGGACTGCTAGTTTCCATTAACCTGGCAGTCCCTTTGCTCTTTTTTTTGATTATCTCAAAAACGGAAGGAGCACCTAATTTTTAATAAGTAGCCCTAATTAGCACCTAAAAAGTACCTAATTATTATATAGATCCCGAAGTTTTTTTCCACCTTGGGACTGCTAGGTTTATAGATCTCTTGTGTTCTAGTGTTAATAATAAAAGTGTTCTAACTTGGATTGAAAAGTTCTGGAACATTCTGTAATTTCTAAGTTGTTCTGACATATTTTTAAGTTTTGGCTCTCAAGCTATGAGTTCTGATCAGTTACAGTTCAAATAGAGCAGTTTGAGGAGCTCATTTTGCACCCTGATTGAGCTAAATTTAACTGAGATGAATAAAAATCCTATTCTAAACTTTCCTAGAGTAACAAAATTCAATCTTTGACGATTCTAGTGTTAAATTTAAGCTATGGCAGTTTTAAACGTCAATTTTGGCCCTCAAACTACCATTTCTGATTATTTTTAAGTTACAGTTCAAATAGAGCAGTTTGAGGAGTTCATTTTGCACCTTGATTGAGCTAAACTTAATTGAGATGAATAGAAATCCTTAGAGGTTAGGAGGCAGACATTTTTTCAATATTTTTTTCTTAAATTTCAATCTTTTTTGAAGCCACTTGTGAAATCTCGATTCAAACCCTCAAACATTTTCCTCGAAAAAAACATTTTGCCTCACGACTACTTCATTACTCACAGTGGCGGATACAGTGGTGGGGGGGGGGCAAAACAAAACTATATTTTAAGTATTGAGAATATTCGGGTTCGGAAAACTGGAAACCTATAAAAAAATCACACCTTTGTCTGGTTGAGTTCATGTATTGTTTTTTTTTTTGGTTCTAATAAATAAATATTCATACAAAATCAATAAGATCATGTACAGGGTGTTTTTCTATATATTGACATCCCACCTACAGCCTTTACCTTTCTAGGTAGATGAAAGGTGTAAATACAAAAGTGAATTATTGCGGAACTTATGGGTGGACCTCTGCGGGACAAGCGCAGCGAGTTCCGCAGCCATCTAATCACCAATATAGTATTGAACTGTTCAAGTAAGACATTCACCTGAAATGTGTAATTTTCAAACTTATGGGAATAACGCATATTTGAGTGAGTCAGTTTAGTATCGTAATTAAACAACATATTGATGAATAGATGGCGCAGAGGTCCACCCATAAGTTCCGCAACAATTTACTCGTTTGTACTTGAATATAACTTATCACATTATGTTACTAGTTTGATAAAGTAACATTACTAATTCCTGCTGAAAGGCAAATGGACAAAAAATGGATAATCTTACAAATTTTGACTTTATATAATAAGTTATTGTTCAAGTACAAATAAGTGGGTTATTGCGGAACTTACGGGTGGACCTCTGTGGGACGAGCGCAGCGAGTTCCGCAGCTATCTACTGACCAATATACTGTTGAACTATTCAAATAAGACACTCACCTGAAACTTCTAGTTTTTGAACTAATGAGAATAACTGACATTTGAGTGAATCAGGTTAGTATCGTATTTGAATAACGTATTAATGAATAGATTTCTGCGGAACTCGCTGCGCTCGTCCGGCAGAGGTCCATCCATAAATTCCGCAACAATCTACTCGTTTGTACTTGAATAACTTGTCACATTATATGTTACTAGTTTGGTAAAGTAACATTACTAATTTCTGTTGAAAGGCAAATTGACAAAAAGGGAATAATCTTACAAATTCTGACTTTATATAATAAGTTGTTGTTCAAGTACAGAGTGTTCTTTTATACATTGACACCCCACCTACAGCCTTCACCTTTACAAGTAGATGAAAGGTGTATTAGCTAAAGGACCCCGCAATATTTAAATGGAAATTGGTTACCCGTGATATTTGGATGAAATTTAAATATGTTATTGGGGATGCCGTAAGCAACATTTGTTACCATGGGCACAATCCTGTATATATGACAGGTGAGGCGTGATTAGCTGTCAAATATTGGAATCTTATATCCAAAAGCCGAATAACTATGGCAGATTCTGATGAAGAAAAAATCTATTTCTACTAAGTCGACCAAGTTAAGTCGAAAAATGTCAACCATTTTGACACCTGTCAAACCCGTGCCAAACGGCAGCACTCATCTTTTCCAGTTTTCAATATTTTATGATGTCATTTGATATTTTTAACTTATATGTAAATTCTGAATTCAAAATTTGAAAAAAATGACATCATTGTGGATTTCATTTGTAAGTGTCAAAATGTTTGAGTACTTTAATGATTTCATTATAGTACTAAGTACTATAATGACTGTACTATAATGACTAATGAAATAAAATCCTTTATACTAAAGCTACATACTTTAAAATAAAAATTGATATCTCTGTCAAAATCTGAAACCTGCATATAATGTTTTTTCATGCGTTATCATAAATAAGCCTAACTTAAATTGAAAAAGAACTAGATTTGATTCTTTTTTGAACTCAAGCTATTGACAGATTCTGACAGCTGTCAGAATGTGACGTGCATGAACTTTGTTTAATGTTTTATCACCAATAAACTACCTTAAAACGAGAAAGAACCAGATTAGAGTATTTTTTTCTACTAAAACAAATGACAGGTTTTGACAGTTTTGTCATTTTTTTTTTCAATTTTTGAATTCAGAAATTAAATACAAGTTAAAAATGCCAAATGACATCATAAAATATTGAAAACTGGAAAAGATGAGTGCTGCCGTTTGGCAGGGTTTTGACAGGTGTCAAAATGATTGACATTTTTCGACTTAACTTGGTTGACTTACTAGAAATAGATTTTTTGTTCATCAAAATCTGTCATAGTTACTCTGCTTATGGATATAAGATTCCAATATTTCACAGCTAACCACGCCTCACCTGTCATATATACAGGGTTGTGCCCATGGTAAAAAATGTTGCTTACGGCATCCCCAATAACATATTTAAATTTCATCCAAATATCACGGGTAACCAATTTCTATTTAAATATTGCGGGGTCCTTTTTAGAATCCATGGCCAGAAACAAAAATTGAATGTCAGAAATGTTGCATGCTTTCAGCTTTTTTCAAAATGGAATGCCCTATATTTGGTTCTATATTCTTGAAGAGCACAATTTCCCGATTCCAAAACTATATACAGGGTGTCCCACGACGTTTTTCCCGGGTGATAACCTCGGAACGCGTCTTCCAATATAATTGAAATTTTGAGGTTCTGGGTACCTTTTTGTGCCGCTTCTACCATTGTCATCCAGTTCCACCACTTTTGCTTCAATTTCTGTCAAGTGACGTCAACTGTCGAATCCTAAATGTAACTCATGATATATTATGGCATTTTTCGTTAGAAAATTAAATTACAAAATCGGTAATGCCATATTTGTTGAGGATTTGTTAAAGAAAGTGATAAAAATGTATACAGTGGAACATACGATCATGCGTTCCGAAGTTATCATTTGGGAAAAACCTCGTGGGACTGGGACACCCTGTATACTCTTGGACAAAATTATGGTAATGCTTATGTGCAGTGGTACGATAATTTTGTCCAGCAGTATAGTTTGTCTATATTTGGTTAAGCCGTCTCCAACATATTTGGTTTTAAAAAATTTCAAAAATACTATCAGAGAAAGCAAGTACAGGGTTATTGGTTATAAATGTCACCCTCCTCTATCTTTTTTATTTGACATTTTAGAAAAAAGTGTCCCAAATAAAAAATTTAAATTTGCATATACAGGGTGTTTCAAAGAAGCTGGTCGTGCTCCAATTTTCTTATTTTAAATTGAATACCCTACATATTATTCAATATTTGGATTCTACGTCAAATTCTGAGTAGATTTCATGTGATATTTATACCTAAGTTCAACTGTTTTGGAAATATTGAGGGTTGAAAATTGACTTTTTTGCAAATTTCACAGGCTGTAAAATCTAAACGGTTAACTTTTGTGCAAAACCGATCTTAAAATTTTTTACTAATATTTTCACAAGTTATCATTTGACACCAACTTTGAATTTAACCGAAGATTAAATTTAATTGGAATTTTCAATCATAGATTAAATTCAGAGTTGATGTCAAATATTGGTGTCAACTGATAGTTTATAAAAATCTAAGATAAAAATGTAAGATCGGTTTTGCTCTACAATTAACCGTTTAGGATTTACAGCCTGTCAAAATTGCAAAAAAGTCAATTTTCAACTGTCAATATTTCCAAAACAGTTTAACTTAGGTATAGGGTATATCACATGAAATCTGCTCAGAATTTTACGTAGAATCCGAATATCCGATAATATACAGGGTATTCTATATGAAATAAGAAATTTGGAGCACGACCAGCTTTTCTGAAACACCCTGTATAAGCGAAAGTGAGTTTTTTCATTTCAACCATAAAACTTTTATTTGGGACACATTTTTCTAAACTGTCAAATAAAAAAGATAGAGGGGGGTGACATTTACAACCAATAACCCTGTACAGGGTGATCTATTATAAATGTAACCCCCTGCTAACTTTTTCATTTGACGTTTTTGACAGAAGTGTCAAATACAAAAGTTTCAAGAAATTGTCAAAAGTTTCTAACTAACTCAGTTTTAGGCATACAGGGTGCGTCAAAAACGTGCAGCAGTATGAAGTTTTTTTTTTTTAAATGGAACACCCCGTATTTGTTAGTCCCCTTCAACCTGATTTCAACGATATATGGTTTGATATGTTTATCCCTCGGTTTATCTCCAATAGTTATAGGGAGAAACGCGAAAATTCCTTCCTAGGTCTCTCATGTTATTTTTTTTTAAATAATAATAATAGCTTAGATATCTGGATTTATTATAATATTTCACCTTGTAAATTAATGGATAAAATTTGAACAATAAACTGATAATAAAAAAAATACTTTAAAGCTTAAATGGTATAATTTTCCTTTTTTCAATATGAAACCTTAAAAGGGCTTTTCATGTTTTTCCCTATAACTGTTGAAGATAGACATATCAAACCCTATATCGTTGAAAACAGGTTAAAGGGGATTAACAAATAAGCGCACAATATACAGGGTGTTCCATTTAAAAAAATATAACTTCACGCTGCTGCACTTTTTTGACGCACCCTGTATGCCTAAAAGTGACTTAGTTAAAAACTTTTGACAATTTCTTGAAACTTTTGTATTTGACACTTCTGTCAAAAACGTCAAATGAAAAAGTTAGCAGGGGGTTACATTTATAATATATCACCCTGTACAACTTTTGTATTTACACCTTTCTTCTACCTGTGAAGGTAAAAGCTGTAGGTCGGGTTTCAATATATAAAAAATCACCTTGTACAAATAAGTGGATTATTGCGGAACTTATGGGTGGACCTCTACGGGACGAGCGCAGACAGTTCCGCAGCATCTACTCACCAATATACTATTGAACTGTTCAAGTAAGACATTCACCTGAAATGTGTAATTTTTAAATTGATGGGAATAACGCACATTTGAGTGAGTCAGTTTAGTACTGTAATTAAATAACATATTGATGAATAGATGGCTGCGGAACTCGCTGCGCTCGTCCCGCAGAGGTCCACCCATAAGTTCCGCAACAATTTACTTATTTGTACTTGAATAACTTGTTACTAGTTTGGTAAAGTAACATTACTAATTCCTGTTAAAAGGCAAATTGATAAAAAGGGAATAATCTTACAAAGTCTGACTTTATATAATAAATTATTGTTCAAGTAAAAATTTGTACAGTATTGGTTAAATATTTGGAATTTATGGTCAGAAACAAAAATTGAATGTCAGAAATGTGAAGTGTTGCATGCTTTCAGCTTTTTTCAAATGGGATGCCCTATATTTGGTTCTATATTCTTGAAGAGCACAATTTCCTGATTCCAAAACTATATAGTTTGTCTATGTTTAATTGAGCCGTTTCCAACATATTTGGTTCTAGAAATTTTTAAAATACTATCAGAGAAACCAAGTAGATACCTTAAATTTTATCTGCAACTTTCACCTGTATAGGTAGAATGGTTCACAAAATCAGTAGTAGGATAGTATTATTACAATTTTTGGAGCCGAATATATGAGAGACTGTTCAATCAAATATATAGACAAATTATATATTTTTGGAATCGGGGTATGTTCACTCTTCAACAATATAGAATGAAATATAGGGCATCCCATTTGAAAAAAGCTGGAAGCATGCAAAATTTCACATTTCTGACATTCAATTTTTATTTCTGATCATGATTTCTAAAAATTCAGCCAAAACTGTACAACTTTTGTATTTACACCTTTCTTTTACCTGTAAAAGTAAAGGCTGTAGGTGGGGTGTCAATATATAAAAAAACACCCCGACCTACCTATTTAAAATCACCTTATTCTCCTAAATAGTTCTCCCATTCCCATATTTTTATGGGCCATTCCTTCGAAAAACCGTATCTTGCACAATGCGCTCCCAAAACTAGCCTAAACTAACCCAATCTCGCTTACTTTAACTTAAACTGCCCCCCTTTCAAAAGGCCTGTATCCGCCCCTGATTACTCACGACTCAGTTAATTTCAATCCGATTTCAACGTACTTAGGTTCCAATTGAAGCTAATTAAATTCTCTACAAACCCCTATAGTAATAATTTCAATACTGAGCTGCAAGACTTAAAAGTTTTCAGAGTTTGATTTTTATCAAGGTGAGAAAGCAATTATATACGCAAATTCTTACCCCATTCATGACGTTCTACATGTCCAGTAACAAACGGTCGAAAACCGTGACCCCCTTTTTCCAAAGGCCAAGCAGATTCCTGGTTCTGACCACCTCCGTACCTAAAATAACTCATTAATCCACACGATGGACTGCTTACTTTACTTACCAATGCACTCCGTTGAACATTTCAAAGCAATCAGTCGGGGCCAGATAATCGTTCAACGAAATCCATTTTAAATTGTAACACTTAATACGATCTTGTAGGGTGTAGACGTGCAAATAGAGTCTGGCTTTGTCCATCCATTCCAGGCATATAGAGCCGTCTCGTCGTTCGTCTTGCGGTAAGCAAGGCAAGACTTGGTCGTAGTTTAAGGTGGTGCCCAATTTTGCATTAATTATTTCTATGCCTAAATAGAATTGATTATAATATTTAGAAATAATTATTTAATTACCTACTTACCATCGTTATTGTATATTTGCATTATACGTTTATTTTTATTAAACTTGATTCGTTCAAAGTAAGCTTTGGCCAAGATTTTTTGATGGTACAAAAAGTAAGCAGTGCATATTAAGACTACGATAGTCATAAAAAGAAATATTACGAAAACTTTTATTTTGTAGTCGTTGGATTTTTTTCTTCTGATGGTTTGAGGCAAATTCTAGAAATAATTAGTTTGTGAAAATTCTTAGTTAGTACAAATGATAGCACCTGTATTTTTTCCTTAAGTAAACTGGCCAGTGAGTTGACTGAAGTGACCGAGTTGGCTGGCGAGTTGCCGTCGGAAAAGTCCGCCGGATCTGGTGGAGTCAGCATTCTGGGGCTCAGCACTGATTTTCTTCTAACATTTCTAGAAGGGCCACTGAAAAATTAAAACTATGTAGTCTGGTCGAGTTCAAGAGGCAAAGTGGCATTTTCTTTATTGTATCAGACATGGCTATTATTTAAAGTAATAAAACAATGAAGAGGGTTTAAGAGTGACAATCGCCAAGACAATTTATCTTTTTGGCTTGTGAATAATTTCAATTTATTTAGAGTGTCGTGATGAATGGCTCTTAAGTTCAATTTCCGTATATAACTGATCGAGTTAAACGCTATTTAAATATAATGATAAATAAATACATATTATAATACAGTCGCGCGGTCATTACCTTGTTAAAAGAGAGCTTCAGAAAAATTGTTTTAGGATAAAAATTCTTACTTTAAAACCGTATCCTCCCATTCCCGTTCCTCATCACTATAATCATCCCCGTCGATATAAATTTTTGGTATATTCCAAATTGCAGCGTGCATTTTTTTAATTATTGCACATAAAACCCACACAATTGAACATTTTTATAACTAAAATTATTGTTTTATAAAAAATCCCCATAGTGGTGGTTTCAGTTGATTAGCATACCTTTCCATATTTGTTTTTATAATTATTACGATTAAGTTTTTGTGGATATGGAATGATAATAAATCTGATAATGTCATGTGATAAAGGCATCTGACTATGTATATTGAAGTTTTTATGTGCTAAAAATATAAAATCAAAGATGCTTTGTTATTATTGTTTCGTAATGTGGTTGTACAATTATTGTTTATATATTTTTTTCACACAACGCCGATGTTCTAAGAAAATTACTATAGTCAAATACATTGATTAGTATTGCAATTATTATTATTTGAAAATAATTGTGGGCAAATTTTCAATTTATTTTAGCTCATTGAACCAAAACAAAAGTCTCCTATACACTATACAAAAAATAAAAAACCCAAACAGGGATTGTAGTCCCCTACTAGAATAAGAATCGCTGGAAATTGCAGCTTTCTATCTTCAAGAGAAAAAAAGTTATGACCTTTCAAAGTTTTCCAAAATCTAAATCATAATAGGTACTACCTTCTTACTAAAACGATGAAATTTCAAATTTTTTTTAGTCGAGATTGCTTAACACGATTTTATCTCAGGAACTATAAGTGCAAATGAGCTGAAATTTTCAGGGATTGTAGTCCTTTTGAAAAGATAAAATTCAGTGAAAGATTCAGCTTTCTATCTATAATAGAAAAAAAGTTATGACCTTTCAAAGTTTTCCAAAAAAATCATAAGGGGGGTACCTTCTTACTAAAACGATGAAATTTCAAATTTTTTTTTTTCGAGATTTTGTATCCTAATGATCAATCAACATACCCCAAACTCCATACACAAAATTATTCTCAGATTTGAAGCCGAAATCTATGAAAAAAGGCACTCAGAAAAATTGAAAAATTGATAAATCACCCCAAATTGCTTAACACGATTTTATCTCAGGAACTATAAGTGCAAATGAGCTGAAATTTTCAGGGATTGTAGTCCTTTTGAAAAGATAAAATTCAGTGAAAGATTCAGCTTTCTATCTATAATAGAAAAAAAGTTATGACCTTTCAAAGTTTTCCAAAAAAATCATAAGGGGGGTACCTTCTTACTAAAACGATGAAATTTCAAATTTTTTTTTTTCGAGATTTTGTATCCTAATGATCAATCAACATACCCCAAACTCCATACACAAAATTATTCTCAGATTTGAAGCCGAAATCTATGAAAAAAGGCACTCAGAAAAATTGAAAAATTGATAAATCACCCCAAATTGCTTAACACGATTTTATCTCAGGAACTATAAGTGCAAATGAGCTGAAATTTTCAGGGATTGTAGTCCTTTTGAAAAGATAAAATTCAGTGAAAGATTCAGCTTTCTATCTATAATAGAAAAAAAATTATGACCTTTCAAAGTTTTCCAAAAAAATCATAAGGGGGGTACCTTCTTACTAAAACGATGAAATTTCAATTTTTTTTTTTTCGAGATTTTGTATCCTAATGATCAATCAACATACCCCAAACTCCATACACAAAATTATTCTCAGATTTGAAGCCGAAATCTATGAAAAAAGGCACTCAGAAAAATTGAAAAATTGATAAATCACCCCAAATTGCTTAACACGATTTTATCTCAGGAACTATAAGTGCAAATGAGCTGAAATTTTCAGGGATTGTAGTCCTTTTGAAAAGATAAAATTCAGTGAAAGATTCAGCTTTCTATCTATAATAGAAAAAAAGTTATGACCTTTCAAAGTTTTCCAAAAAAATCATAAGGGGGGTACCTTCTTTCTAAAACGATGAAATTTCAATTTTTTTTTTTTCGAGATTTTGTATCCTAATGATCAATCAACATACCCCAAACTCCATACACAAAATTATTCTCAGATTTGAAGCCGAAATCTATGAAAAAAGGCACTCAGAAAAATTGAAAAATTGATAAATCACCCCAAATTGCTTAACACGATTTTATCTCAGGAACTATAAGTGCAAATGAGCTGAATTTTTCAGGGATTGTAGTCCTTTGAAAATGATAAAATTCAGTGAAAGATTCAGCTTTCTATCTATAATAGAAAAAAAGTTATGACCTTTCAAAGTTTTCCAAAAAAATCATAAGGGGGGTACCTTCTTTCTAAAACGATGAAATTTCAAATTTTTTTTTTTCGAGACTTTATATCCTAATGATCAATCAACATACCCCAAACTCCATACACAAAATTATTCTCAGATTTGAAGCCGAAATCTACGAAAAAAGGCACTCAGAAAAATTGAAAAATTGATAAATCACCCCAAATTGCTTAACACGATTTTATCTCAGGAACTATAAGTGCAAATGAGCTGAAATTTTCAGGGATTGTAGTCCTTTTGAAAAGATAAAATTCAGTGAAAGATTCAGCTTTCTATCTATAATAGAAAAAAAGTTATGACCTTTCAAAGTTTTCCAAAAAAATCATAAGGGGGGTACCTTCTTACTAAAACGATGAAATTTCAATTTTTTTTTTGTCGAGATTTTGTATCCTAATGATCAATCAACATACCCCAAACTCCATACACAAAATTATTCTCAGATTTGAAGCCGAAATCTATGAAAAAAGGCACTCAGAAAAATTGAAAAATTGATAAATCACCCCAAATTGCTTAACACGATTTTATCTCAGGAACTATAAGTGCAAATGAGCTGAAATTTTCAGGGATTGTAGTCCTTTTGAAAAGATAAAATTCAGTGAAAGATTCAGCTTTCTATCTATAATAGAAAAAAAGTTATGACCTTTCAAAGTTTTCCAAAAAAATCATAAGGGGGGTACCTTCTTTCTAAAACGATGAAATTTCAATTTTTTTTTTTTCGAGATTTTGTATCCTAATGATCAATCAACATACCCCAAACTCCATACACAAAATTATTCTCAGATTTGAAGCCGAAATCTATGAAAAAAGGCACTCAGAAAAATTGAAAAATTGATAAATCACCCCAAATTGCTTAACACGATTTTATCTCAGGAACTATAAGTGCAAATGAGCTGAATTTTTCAGGGATTGTAGTCCTTTGAAAATGATAAAATTCAGTGAAAGATTCAGCTTTCTATCTATAATAGAAAAAAAGTTATGACCTTTCAAAGTTTTCCAAAAAAATCATAAGGGGGGTACCTTCTTTCTAAAACGATGAAATTTCAAATTTTTTTTTTTCGAGACTTTATATCCTAATGATCAATCAACATACCCCAAACTCCATACACAAAATTATTCTCAGATTTGAAGCCGAAATCTATGAAAAAAGGCACTCAGAAAAATTGAAAAATTGATAAAGCACCCAAATTGCTTAACACGATTTTATCTCAGGAAATATAAGTGCAAATGAGCTGAAATTTTCAGGGATTGTAGTCCTTTTGAAAAGATAAAATTCAGTGAAAGATTCAGCTTTCTATCTATAATAGAAAAAAAGTTATGACCTTTCAAAGTTTTCCAAAAAAATCATAAGGGGGGTACCTTCTTTCTAAAACGATGAAATTTCAAATTTTTTTTTGTCGAGATTTTGTGTCCTAATGATCAATCAACATACCCCAAACTCCATACACAAAATTATTCTCAGATTTGAAGCCGAAATCTATGAAAAAAGGCACTCAGAAAAATTGAAAAATTGATAAATTACCCCAAATTGCTTAACACGATTTTATCTCAGGAACTATAAGTGCAAATGAGCTGAAATTTTCAGGGATTGTAGTCCTTTTGAAAAGATAAAATTCAGTGAAACATTCAGCTTTCTATCTATAATAGAAAAAAAGTTATGACCTTTCAAAGTTTTCCAAAAAAATCATAAGGGGGGTACCTTCTTACTAAAACGATGAAATTTCAATTTTTTTTTTTTCGAGATTTTGTATCCTAATGATCAATCAACATACCCCAAACTCCATACACAAAATTATTCTCAGATTTGAAGCCGAAATCTATGAAAAAAGGCACTCAGAAAAATTGAAAAATTGATAAATCACCCCAAATTGCTTAACACGATTTTATCTCAGGAACTATAAGTGGAAATGAGCTGAAATTTTCAGGGATTGTAGTCCTTTTGAAAAGATAAAATTCAGTGAAAGATTCAGCTTTCTATCTATAATAGAAAAAAAGTTATGACCTTTCAAAGTTTTCCAAAAAAATCATAAGGGGGGTACCTTCTTTCTAAAACGATGAAATTTCAAATTTTTTTTTGTCGAGATTTTGTGTCCTAATGATCAATCAACATACCCCAAACTCCATACACAAAATTATTCTCAGATTTGAAGCCGAAATCTATGAAAAAAGGCACTCAGAAAAATTGAAAAATTGATAAAGCACCCAAATTGCTTAACACGATTTTATCTCAGGAAATATAAGTGCAAATGAGCTGAAATTTTCAGGGATTGTAGTCCTTTTGAAAAGATAAAATTCAGTGAAAGATTCAGCTTTCTATCTATAATAGAAAAAAAGTTATGACCTTTCAAAGTTTTCCAAAAAAATCATAAGGGGGGTACCTTCTTTCTAAAACGATGAAATTTCAA